TCCAGAGGAGGGACAGTGGTTTGGACATGTCCAGAGGAGGGACAGTGTGTATATTGGTAGAAGGATGTTAGAAATGCAGCTGCAGGAAAAAGACAAAGAGGAGACATATGGATGCAGTTAGAGAGGACATGGAGGTAGTTGGAGTGAGGACAGAGGACAAGAGTGAGGACAAAGGACAGAGGATGCAGAGGACAGAGTGAGATGGAGGAAGAGGATTTAATGTGGAGATCATTGAAGAGGGAGGAAGTCAAACTTGGTTCCACCATCTGGACTTTTGCTTCTTTCTCCTCTCTCTGGGCTTCATGACTGATGACAGGACATCTCTTGAGAAATGACCGAACTTTCCCTTTAAGGTGCTGGACCTAAAGGGAGCAGGTAAGCCTTGCAGGACAGTCCTGGTGAACCTGGCTTGTTGTCTTCAGTTCTGTCCAGCTGGAGCGTCCAGTCCAGAAGTGAAGACTCCACTCAGCGTCCAGACTTCGTGACTCTGAACCGAAACGCCGTGAGGTCCGGAGTGGCTACGGCCAAAGACCTGAATCAGTACCGATCCCAGGTGGGCGGAGCCACAGTCCAGAGCCAGGCCTTGGAAGGGCATGGGGGCAGGGCTTCACGCCCCCCCCTGGCACTGCCTGACATCACGTTTGGAGTCACCAACAGGTGAGAAACAGAACAATCCCTGACTATTGATCAATGAGAACTAATCGATAACAGATCGACGTGTCCTCAGGGCGACGTCGCCGATCGCCGACCTGCTGTCCTATCAGTATGCTCGCTGCTGGTTCGAGGAGCAGAGCAGGAATCAGACCAGCAACCAGAACCAGCGGGTGAGAGAGAGCCTGACCTGTGTGTGTGTTGGTTTGTTTTACTCACGTTGTGGGGACTCTGTGTTTTACCTGCACTCTGGGGTCGATTCAGTCCCGACCAGCTGGATGAGGAAGTCAGGTCAGTTTGTCCTCCAGCAGTCTAAGCCTATAGCAGCATGTTACGATATTTCTTATTTAGACTGGTCCTATGGTTTTGATCTGCTCAGAGACGGGATTATAATGAAATTATGACCCGGTTCTGACTGGGTTAAACTGGGCCAGCAGCTCTCAAGAGAGTCCCCCTGGGATTTCAATATCAGTCAAATAGTTTAATCTGCTTGCCACATCACGTAGAAAGGCTTTGAAGCACCGTCTCATATTTCCTAACACGTCAGTCCACATAAGATCACACTTAGCCACGCCCCCTAATACACGGATAGGTTGAGCTCCCCTTCTGCGAAGGCGGAGTCTTAGGACCCGGGACATCGAGGCTCTTCCGGGTCTGTGATCGCGTCATAGTCTGGAGAGTCCAGCATTGTGAAACTGTAATCTTTTCCTGCCTTTTTTAATATAATTGATAAAACTTAATCGACGTCTCATTGATTTATTGATAGTATGAGTTGCCACTTCTGAGAGAGATATAACCAGAGGAAGCGGTGGGGGCTGGCTGAGGGTCCGGGGTCAGAGAAGAGAGGAAGCCTGAGGCCCACGGCTAGCCGTAGCTAGCTGCAGTGACTGACGACCCACAGTCAGCTCCCAAAACGCAAAAAGTATAACTAAGGGACAGCTCAGGAAACCCAAGCCAACCCTAACTATAGGATTTATCAAAAAGGAAGCTTAATCCCAGTCTTCAAACTGGACAATGTGTCAGCCTCATGGACAGAAACTGGAAGTTGTTTCCACAAGAGAGGAGCCTGAGAACTGAAAGATCTGCCTCCCATAGAATATTCTGCTTTTGGAAACTCTAGGAGCCACGAGTAAACCTGCAGTTTGAAAGAATGCATATCACCCGCTGACTTTCACAACAGTGTTTAGACTATGACGTTAGTCTAAAAGTAATGTTGAGAAATTACAACATTAAACTCGTTCATATCAAATAAAGCTTTGTTAGTTCAAGATCTCTGTTGGGGATGACTCTCAGCTACTACCACACCAAATTTTAGTTCAATATTTCTGAAATTGGAAGAGTCTTAGCCCTTTTTGTGTTGCTCTACGATGGATTTGGTGTGACAGACATCTTGAATGGGTTGACTCCTAAAGTTTATCATTTCTAGACGTATTTTCATTAAAATTCATCGATGGTTCGTGAGTTCATCGCCCGCCTTTAGTCTTTGAGGTTTTAGACTTTTAAATGTTTGTTTGTAGTTGGAACAGTAAATCCTGTTTGCATTCAGATCAAGCTGGGTCACATCGCAGAGACCAGAACCAGCCTGCTGAGGAAGAGCAGAAGATGTCTGCCGGTCCTACAAACCCGCTTTGACCTGCCGCAGTTCACTCAGGTAAGCCCCACCCCTTGAACACACCACACCTGAGCAGCACGCAGCGCCCCTACAGGCGACAGCAGGAAGGACACCCTCAGGCTGAAACTGAGCCGGGGTTTTACTACAAATTGAAGACATGATCACCCGCCGCTGAAATCTGAACCATCTCATGACAGATTTCAACAGTTCTCTCTTTTGTCAATCTTTCCTTGTTTTTTATTGACTTTGTTCAGTTCAGGAAAGCTCAGGATGGGGTCATAACTGATCAAGAACCAGAACCAGGAACAAGTGGGATTTGTAATAATTGAGTTATTTCCAATAAATGATTGATGTCCACATCAGAACTGATCTTCTGGGTAGAACCGACCACTTTTAGACTCCTTCAGGACTCAACTGATCAGTAACTGATGATGATCAATCCAAGCTTCTTCAGATGCTGATAATAAATAATAAAGTTCTTCATGCTGCCACTGATACTCCATTTTTTTGTTTTTGTTTCTCTCTGTGCGCCGGTGAAGACAGACGTGTTCTCCTGTGCTCCGTCCCCTCGCTTCCCTGCTTGCATTCTTTCGTCCTGTGAACCCTTAAAGAGCCTGGTTTTTTCCTGCATACCGTCCTAATTTGAAGGATTTGATCAGTTGGTCTCTCAACAAAATTGACCAACTTCTGACAGGAGTCAGGGTAATGAGGACCCTCTTACCTCAATGGAAACAAATTGGATTCATGATGACAACTGGATTCTGATGTTTGGATTGGTGAAATCAGGATTGTCTAGAAATTTGTGTGGATGTGTCGAAGCTCGGCAGCATTCAGACTGAATTCTGTGGAGCTGCGTCAGAGCTGCAGCAGCTGTTATCAGAACTGTGAACTTTCTGGCAGCACCCATGAAGGTGGGAATAATCTTGGAGAAGCTGTGAGCTCGACTTTTGGAGTAAGGAATCAATTTGGCTGTTTGGAGTTTCCATCATGTACACCCCCCTACATATGTACAATGGATTCGAGGGGTGATGTACCATATCCATTTGGAAAAATAAGATATGCCCTGAAGGGTTCTGTAAAAAGATTCTGAGAGACATGTCAGCCCTTTGTGTCCTATGTGGAGAACTTATCAGTACCTGTTTGATTTATTTTTGTTTATGCATGTGTGGCTGATTCGGTGTGGGAGGGATTTTTGTTTTTGTTCTGTCCATTTGTTCTGTGTGTTATTAAAAATGCAAATATCAATAAAAAGACCTGGTTTGAAAGTCGTATTCGTGCCGTTTATCTCGGTCAGACTGGTTTCATTTTAATCTGATGTCACAGTTGGATCCAGGTGACCTCTTCTCTGCTCCTCCTGCAGGTAGCTCCGGCTCTCGACACCTTCAGGGACCCGGAGACTCGTCAACGGGCGCTCCGAGCTTACCGGTCCAACTCTGGGATCCAGAAAGGACATCAGGCTCAGGGGACAACCTAGTGTGGACTGATCTGAGGACAGAAAAGGACACATTAGCACAAATGCTAATAAAATGTAGCAAAGCTTCATTTTTCTGCAGGAACTTCTTCCACTCAAACTGGAGAGGAGTCAGTCAGGGCTCCAGACTGGGACCCCTATAGTTTTTCACTAAATGTTCTCCAAGTAGAGTCTACACAAACAACTGGGACCATTTGGTTCTGATTACACAACTAAAACAAACAACTTAAAAGGTCAAATAATAAATCTTAAAATTAAAACTTTGACATTGAAAACGTTTTATTTTATTTATAAATTAATATTTGGGAATCTGTGGTTTGGTCCACTGAAGGTGCACGTCTTCACCGGTCACAGATTAGAAACGTGCAGCTCCATCAGGAGGAAGGTGCAACAACTTTTAGGAGCAATAAGTTGCACAAAATGTGTAAACTAGATAAAAAGGCGTTGAAGATGGAACCAGTCCAGTTTGGAGCTCTGCAGCTCAGAAACATTGTTCAAGGTGTAAACATGTCACTGGAAGTTGGACTTCACCCAGCTGATGTTTTGCTAACAGGTTTTAGATGTCACTAACTCTGAGCTCACAACTTTTTCAGGTCAGTGAAGAAAAGTAAAATGTAGATTTGTCTTCTTCAGTTCTATTATAAATATTATCTTTGAAACAGGAAGTGGAACATCTTTTTAACTTGTCTCATCTCCAACAGAAAAGTCTGCAGAATCATAAAAACTCACCGTGTGGCCGTCAGAACTTTCTGCTGCTCACGGTCCAAGAACTTTAGAGTTTTCACCGTTTGTTTGAGGCTTACTTTTCAGTCTGTTTCTATCTGTCTTTTACTGAGTTGGCAATTAATCAGCTCACATGATTATTTTTAACCTGAGATCCGAATGACGTCACAGTCACCATGTTCCCAATACCATCCCAACCAGACTGTTTAAAGAGGTATTTCCACTAATTAATAACCACGTCTTGGATTTGCTTAATTTGTCTCCAATAAATGGTTACTAACCACAGAGCTGTAAGATTTCTGTAATTAAACCTTTACTTAAGAAACATAACCTTGACTTAAGAATCCTACCCAATTATAGACCTATATCTAATTTAACTTTCATCTCAAAAATTCTAGAGAAAATAGTTGCTGGTCAGCTGTGTGATCATCTGCAAATAAATAATCTGTTTGAAGAGTTTCAGTCAGGGTTTAGAGCTCACCAGCACTGAATCTGCTGGTGAAGTTACTAATTATATTCTCATGGCCTCAGACAATGGACAGGTGTCTATATTGGTCCTGTTAGACCTCAGTGCTGCATTTGATCATAATGTTCTACTACAGAGACTTGAATATGATATTGGAATTACAGGAACAGCTCTAAATTAGTTTAAATCATATCTATCTGACAGATTCCAATTTGTAAAATTGTCAAGCTGAAGAAGGAGTCCTATTGGGCCTTGTTGGCTGGTGGGACTCGGGAGGCAGCTGAGGAGTACCGGAGGACCAAGCGGTCCGCAGCCTTGACTGTTGCTGAGGCAAAAGCTCGGATGTGGGAGGAGTTTAGTGAGACCTTGGATAGAGACTCTCGGTCGGCTCAGAGGAGATTCTGGCAAATCATCAGGCTGCGGAGGAGGAGAAAGCAGCACTTTACTAACACTGTGTTCAGTGAAGGTGAGTGCTGTTGACCTTAACCAGTGATGTCGTCGGGATGTGGAAGGAATACTTCTCGGAGTTTCTCAATCCCACCAGTACATCTTCCATGGAGGAAGATGAGTCGGGGGACTTTGGGGTTGGTCTGTCCATAATCGTGGCTGAGGTCGACGAGGTAGTTAAAAAAACTCCGTGGGTGCAGGGCTCCAGGGGTGGATGAGATTCGCCCTGATTTCCTAAAGGCTCTGGATGTTGTGGGTTTGTCTTGGTTGAAACGCATTTGCAACATCATGTGGATATCGGGGCCGTGCCACTGGACTGGTAGACTGGGGTGGTGGTGCCCCTCTTCAAAAAGGGGGACCGTGTTTGTGCTCCAGTTACAGGGGAATCACTTTCTTTAACCTCCCTGGTAAGGTCTATCCAGGGGTACTGGAGAAGAGAGTCTAATCGTTGGTCGAACCTCAGATCCAGAAGGAACAATGCAGGTTCTGTCCTGGCCCAGGAAAACTGGATCAGCTCTTCACCCTCACTAGGGTCCTTGAGGGATCATGGGAGTTTGTCCATCTAGTCTACATGTGTTTTTTTGGACTTACAGAAGGCATTTGACCATGTTCCTTGGGGTACACTGTGGGGGGTGCTCTGTGAGTATGGGATTAGGGGCCCGTTGTTGCGGGCTGTTCAGTCCCTATACAAGTGGTGCGAGAGTTTGGTTTGCATTGCTGGTAGTAAGTCTGACCCATTCAGGGTGGGAGTTGGTCTCTGCCAGGGATGCCCGTTGTCACGATTCTGTTCATAATTTTTATGGACAGAATTTCTCGGTGCGGTCAGTGGGTGGAGGGAGTCCGGTTCAGTGGCCTTAGGATTCACCTCTGCTCTTTGCAGATGATGTGGTTCTGCTGGCGTCATCGTGCCGTGATCTTCAGCTCTCACTGGAGTGGTTCACTGCAGAGTGTGAAGTGGCTTTGATGAGAATCAGCACCTCCAGATCTGAGGTCATGGTCCTCAGTCAGAAAAGGGTGGATTGTTCTCTTCAGGTCAAGGGTGAGGTTCTGCCTCAAGTGGAGGAGTTCAAGTATGTCTGGGTTTTGTCCATGAGTGAGGGAATAATGGAGCGTGAGATTGACAGATGGATTGGTGCAGCATCAGCAGTATTGTGGACTTTGAACCGGTCCGTTGTGGTGAAGAGGGAGCTGAGCTGTAAGGCAAAGCTCTCTGTTTACCTGTCGGTCTACGTTCCTACCCTCACCTATGGTCACAAACTCTGGGTAGTGCCTGAAAGAATGAGATTGTGGATACAGGAAGTTGAAATGAGTTTCCTCTGCAGGGTAGCTGGACTCTCCCTTAGAGATAGGGTGAGAAGTTCAGTTATCCGTAGAGACTCAGAGAAGAACCGCTGCCCTTTCACATTGAGATGAGCCAGTTGAAGTGGTTCAGGCATCTGGTAGGGATGCTCCCTGAGCATCTCTCTAGGGAGATGCTTCAGGCATGTCTGACTGGGAGGAGACATTGGGGAAGACCCAGGACACGCTAGAGAAACTATGTCTCGGTTGGCCTGGGAACGCCTTGGAGTCCTCCCAGAAGAGCAGGAAGAGGTGGCTGTGGAGAGAGATGTCTGGACCTCCCTGCTCAAGATGCTTCCCCTTCAACCTGACTTTGGAATAAGAGAAAGATAATGGATGGATGGAACACCTCTAAATCAGATTAAATTAGATTTTTCTGATAAATTAGATTTTTCTGATAGATTCCAATTTGTAAAATGTAAATAATGAATCTTCTTCATACACCAAAGTTATTCATGGAGTTCCTCAGTGTTCAGTGCTTGGACCAATACGTTTTACCTTATATATGCTTCCATTATGACTATTGGCCAGTGGCCCTCACCCCGATAGTCGCTAAATGCTTTGAAAAACTGGTCATGACCCACATCAGAACAACCATCAACATCAATGAGGACCCTCATCAGTATGCATACCACGAGAATCGGTCAACAGATTACGCCATCTTCTCTGTGGTCCACAATGTTCTCACCCGCCTGGAGAAGAAGGACTCCTACATCCATATGCTCTTTGTAGACTTCACGTCTGCCTTCAACTCCATGATCCCCCAAACCCTGCTGGAAAAACTACTCACACTAGGACTAAGCCCCTCCATTTGAAACTGTGTCCTGGACTTCTTAACAAAAAGACTGCGGTGAGTGAGGATCCAGAAGGTTCTCCTATTCTGGGCTCACCTCAGGGCTGTGTGTTGAGCCCTCTACAGGTCATTCTGTTAATGTATGACTGTGCAGCTACCCATCCAGGCTGTCACATTGTAAAGTTTGCAGATGATACAGCGGTGGTGGGATGCATCACAAACAACGACGAGTCCAGCTACAGGCAGGAGATGGAACACCTGGCAGGGGTCGGCTGTGGTTGTGCGTGTGTGGTCGTTGGTGGTGCATGGCGGCGGTCGGGGGCGTGGCTTCACTTTGAGACTGGACTATAGAAAGTTCACCTGGACTATAGAAAGTTCACCTGGACTATAGAAAGTACATCTGGACTATAGAAAGTTCACCTGGACTATAGAAAGTACACCTGGACTATAGAAAGTACACCTGGACAATAGAAAGTACACCTGGACTATAGAAAGTACACCTGGACTATAGAAAGTTCACCTGGACTATAGAAAGTTCACCTGGACTATAGAAAGTACACCTGGACTATAGAAAGTACAGCTGGACTATAGAAACCACACCTGGACTATAGAAAGTTCACCTGGACTATAGAAAGTCCACCTGGACTATAGAAAGTTCACCTGGACTATAGAAAGTTCACCTGGACTATAGAAAGTTCACCTGGACTATAGAAAGTACACCTGGACTATAGAAAGTTCACCTGGACTATAGAAAGTTCACCTGGACTATAGAAAGTACACCTGGACTATAGAAACCACACCTGGAGCAGTCATTCTGTGTCTCTTTCTACTTCCTGTCCTCTCAGACCCAGCCGGTTGAAGCAGATGGACACTCGTCCTGAGTCTGGTTCTGCTGGAGGTTTCTTCCTGTTACAGAGAGTTTTTTCTTCCCACTGTCTCCTTTGTTCTTGCTCAGGATGAGAGACTGTGACAAAGTGAAGATTCAACACAATCTGCTGCTTCTTTAGAGAAATAACTTTTACTAATTGTTTTTTATAAAGTCTGTGAATGTTTCTGTTCAGTGTCCTGAGACGACTTCTGCCGTGACTTGGATCTACAGAAATAAAGAGAAGATGATAGAACTTATTAAATAAATTGAACTGAATTATTTAGATCAGTATAGTTTTTGCTCAAGGTTTTCATACTAAGTTCTATATTGGTCTAAATCTGGTCCACAGTTTTGTGAGTTTCAGATAAAACGTTTCATTTTCTGAGGTTCGTCTTCCAAATGATTTTCAGTCGGCTCATAACCAAACGCAGCCCACGTCGTGCTCCAGCAGCCTTCGTCAGTCACACACCGAGAGCAGCGACGTCTGTCTGAAGCTCGGACGCCTTCATGTGAGCCGCACAGACGTGGGTTTGGGCGGCGAGTGGGCGGCTGGGAGCGACAGGCAGCCCTGGTTTACAGGTCAAGCCTGCAGCTTTACAAGGGAAATCTCCAGAGCCACTATAAATACCACTGTGATTTTTAAGGGTGCAGTATATCACACCACTGGTTTTTGAAGGACCACAAACCAACCTAATTTTTGTAGGTTTTCCCCTCTCGTCAATGTACAGTCAGCCTGAATACAATTAAATGTGAATTTCCCTCTTTCCATTTCTAGAGACTGTTAATTGATTGGCCCCACTTCAAAACACCCTTCATCTACCCCCTTTTTCTGCAACAAAGAGCCGGCCGTTCACCTCATGCATCAGAACCATATATCATTATAGGAGCTTAAAGTTTGGGGGGCGGTGTCTCTAATTCTCCCTTTGCTGCACTTCTGAACAAAGGGCAGGCACATGTCAGGAACTATTCTGAGTGGGTTTGAGAAGGTTTTTGTAGAATCGCACCTGCAGCCAAGACAGTTATCCAGCTAAACCTGATGTGGTGCGACTTGAAAAGAGGCTTAATGATTAGCTAAAGGAAACATCTGCATAAAACTGCTGTCAAAATGACACAGCTGTGCAGCGTGCGCAGCATAAATCAACGTGTGCGTTGCTCTGAGCCTGGCTGGACATGCAGTTCATTTTGCGTATTACCTTTAAAAAAATTACAGTTAATTTAGTTTTATGTCATTTCACTGTGAGAAACAGAGAAGGTGGGAAAACCCTGACGTTGTCATTTGAACACCTCACTGGCACAGATGTGAAGTCAAAGGACATAAAAGCAGCGATTGCAAATCTCAGCATGTGCTAGTTAGTGGCAGACGACACTAATT